ACCCGCGAGTACTCCTGAGCGCGCTGGGGACCGGGCCTGGGTGACAGTGGCCTGGGTTCGAGGTGCCCCGCGACCTGTGGGCTGGGCACGTGCCCCCCTGCCGGCCTCTAATAAAGCTGTGAGAGCCTGACGCTTGGCGGTGTGCACCCCTGTGTGCGCCTTCCCGGCCTCCTGGGGCCTGTCTGCCGCCCAGAGGAGCGGCCGTACCCTTCCTTCCGCCATCGCAGCGCCGCCGGCGGGGTCTGGCTCTGCCCGCGGGGGCTCAGCGACAGGCTTGGTGTCCTGACTGCCCCGCGGGCTGCTGGGGGAGCCGAGGAACAAATGGGTCTCTCCGCCAGGGTTGTGTTAGAAGCGTGTGGTGACTGTGTGTGGCATCGGCGTGTACATGCGGCCGGAGGGCTGGGAGGCAGTGAGGGGAGGCCCTCCCGAGCCAGAGCCCCCGGGGTGAAGCGAGCAGGTGCGATGCTGAGGCGACGCCCGGGTTGGCTGGGCTGGAGGACCCGGGACGGGAGGTGGGCAGCCCCGTGTCCTTGCCACTGGAACATGCAGATGATGCCTGCTGTTGTCGCTGAGGGAGGCATGGTAGTCCCTATTTTATTTATTCATTTTAAAATATTTTTTATTGATTTTATTTTTTTATTTTTATGTATAGGGCATAATGTCACAGGAAGGCCATAGTATTCTGCCACCCTGAGGAGTAAGCCCAAGTTGCTGTTGGATGTGTTGTACACAGAGAAGCCATTCTTCAGGCGCTCTGCTCTCTCCACACCCATAGATTTTTTTATTGATTTTAGAGAGAGGGAAACATCCATGAGGACCATCGATTGGCAGCCTCCTGCCCGCCCTCTACTGGCCTGCAACAGGCATTGCCCTGACCGGGAATCTGGCCACCTCTGGCGCATGGGACAACGCTCAACCAACTGAGCCACATGGCCAGGGCTGCAGTCCCTATTTTAAAGACGAGGAAACTTGGGACCCCAAAATATGCAAGAAATAACAGGAAACCCACTCACGGTGACCCCAGCAGTTGAGGGAGCGCATTGATTCGAGCCTGCAGGTGGATCTAGGCCGGGCCTAGATCCTAGTCTAGGGTCAGCTTCAGGGACCCACGGGCTCAGAAACCCGAGGCAGTTCTTGCCCACGGGTGTGTGTGTGTGCAGCTCTGGGCAGGAGAGGCCACAAAAGACCCCACATTTGGCTTCCGCTTGGAGGGACGTGTCTCCGCAGGGCCAGCTGGAGTGGGCTGGGCATGGGAGCTGCTGAAACGCAAGCACAGCCAGGGCCTTGGCCGGACAGTGTAACTTGAACCAGTTCCTCCTTGGGGAGCAGAGGGGGTGCTGGAGAGACTGCGGCCACTGGGCAGATGCCGGGAAACACTTGTGCAGCGTTTGGGTCTAGGTCCCGGAGGTCTGGGGGCGGACCTGACAACCGAGAAGGACCAGAATGGGTCGCATTGCCGCTTTCTGCTCCGGACGCAGTACCCAGGTGGGCCACCGGGGGCGCCGGCGCACTCGGCCGCTCTGGCCCGCTGGTGCTCTATGGCCCACGGGGTCCCGGGAGCGGAGCACGGCCTGCGGCTCGGCTCTGCCGGTCGGACGCCAGTCTATCCCTGACCCCGCCCGGCCCAGTCCAAAGGCCATGCCGCCTGTGACCCTTGACCAGACCAGACACGGAACCGTTTTGCCCGTCCCGCTCCAGGCCCAGCCTTGAACTCGGCCCCAGCCCGGGCCATGCGTGGGAAGCTGCTGCCGCTGGCCGGCCTCTACCTGGTGCAGGGCCTGCCCTACGGGTTGCAGTCTGGCCTGCTGCCCGTGCTGCTGCGAGCGGGCGGCCTCTCCCTGACTCGCGTGGGACTGACCAAGGTGCTGTATGCGCCCTGGCTGTTCAAGCTGGTGTGGGCCCCGCTGGTGGGCACGCGGGGCTCCCCCAGGGCCTGGCTGACGCTCAGCACGGCTGCTCTGGGCCTGGTGTGCGGGCTGCTGGCAGCTCTGCCTCCGGCTGAAGGTGGCCAGGCGGACCTTCCGGTTACTGTGGCGGGGCTGCTGCTGTTGCTAAACCTGGGTGCAGCCGTGCAGGACGTTGCCCTCGACACACTAGCCATGCAGCTCCTGGAACCGGCGGAGCTGGGGCCTGGCAATACCGTGCAGGTGGTTTCGTACAAGCTGGGGTCGGTGCTGGCGGGTGGTGGGCTGCTGGCCCTGGTGCCCACCCTCTCCTGGCCCCAGCTGTTTCTGCTCCTGGCTGCCACCTACTGGCTGGCTGCTGCCCTGGCTTGGGCTACACCCGCCTTGCGACAATTGCCCTCGCCTCAGCCTTCAGAACTCCCCCCACACACCCTGCACCTTCTGCAGGACTTGCTCGCTGTGTCCGGGACCCTGTGGACCGCCGGCTTTGTGCTCACCTACAAGCTGGGTGAGTGAGGGCTTGAGTCAGGCGATGGTAGGGGTGGGGACCTCCAGGGGGTCCCCAGGAACCCTGGAACCACTGGCAGGGCTGTCCTCTTCTGGGCTACGCCCAACAGCGGGGCTTTATGTTGTGCCACTGAGCTCCAGCCACAGTCCCTGGGTCCTGCTGATGCCCTTTCTACCATCAGTACCAGAGCAGGGTAGCAGCCGCTGGGGAGCATGACCAAGGTCCCAGGTGGAAAAGGGAGGCGGTTGTACTCCTACTCATGTTCTCCCCACAGGTGAGCAGGGTGCCAGCAGCCTGTTCCCACTCCTCTTGCTGGACCGAGGCCTCTCCGCCCCGGAGCTGGGGCTGTGGAACAGTGTGGGTGCCGTGGCCTGCTCCATTGCTGGCTCGTCCCTGGGTGGGGCCCTGTTGTCTGGACACCGGTGAGCCTTCTCAGCCTGTCCCACTCACCTGCTCACCCCCAATCTCCCAAAACCCCTGACCTGCCCAGTCTCCCCACCCCAGGAAGCTGCTTCCCCTGCTGAGGTCAGTACTTCAGTTCCGTCTTGGAGGCCTTGCCTGTCAGACCACTCTGCTCTTCTACTTAGACACCCCGTGGGCCAGGCTGGACCCTGGCACAGTCCTGAGAGGTGAGGGGCTGGGCATGGGCACGGGGGAAGAACACTGTACATCCTGGGCCCTGCTGACTCTGGTCCTCCCAGGGGCAGTCTTGCTGAGCCTGTGTCTGCAGCACTTCTTGGGGGGCCTGGTCACAACCGCCACCTTCACTCTGATGATGTGCTGCAGCCAGCTGGCACCCAGTGCCTTGCAGGTGAGGGGTCATGGTCAGGACACCAGGGGGATGCAGGGCTGAGGTCCAAGCAAGTCCTAACTTCCTCCCCCCCTCCCCACCCAGGCCACACACTACAGCCTCCTGGCCACACTGGAGCTGCTGGGCAAGCTGCTGCTGGGCACACTGGCGGGAGCCCTGGCCGACAGCCTGGGCCTGCACCTCTGTTTCTCGCTCTTCCTTGCTCTCTCAGCCATACCCATTCTGTACCTGAGCCTGGCACCCAGAGCCCTGGCCTGAGCTGGGTGGTAAGACTAGTCAGTAAAGCCAAGTGTGACCGGCCAGCCGGCCTGTGTCTGTCTGGGATGTGTGGTGCTCAAGGCTGTCCAGACTGCGGCACCGCCCCACCGAAAAGGAGGGTCCCTGCAACAACTCCAGCATCTTTTATTTTGTGTTTTGGGGGCTCCTTGTGCCCACATTCCGGGCAGTAGGCTTTGTCCAAGGAGGTCAGTCACTGTCCCAGCCACTGATAGCCCCTCGTCTTGGGTCTTGCACCTGCCACTCTCCATGTGCCTGTTCACACCTGTGTCTGACATGGGGGACAGGGCCTGCCTGCGGCCAGGTGTCAGCGGCCCCACAGCAGGATCTCCTCGGTGGCCAGCTTGATCAGGGCGTGGAAGTTCAGGTGCAGGTACTTCCTCCAGAAGCGCCGGTCCCGTCCATACACCTGGGCTGGAAAGCAGGGGCTTCCTGCGGTGGAATGGGGTACATGGCCCTGAGGACTGTCAACTGGGTCCAGCCCCCTGCCCGCCCGGTGGAGCTGAGCCGCCCAGGCCCTCACCGATGCCATGAAAGATGCGGGCCACAGCCCTGCCTGAGAACTGCTGCTCTGGCCACGAGGACAGGAAGTGGCGGATGTCCCTGCGGATCTGGTCCTCCCAGTCCTGGAGCTGAGGGTGGGAGCGTGTCAGCACAACCTGAGCTTCCAGACCACCAAGCTCCACGGCCGGGGGCCGGGCAGGAGGTGTGCACACAGGCGTTTGGCTGCCTGACCTTGCCCCGGGCCCAGGAGTGGCTAGCACTCACCTTGACCTGTCCCGGCTCTGGGCCCTGTGCTTCCTCCTCACCCCCTGGCCCCTCTTCCTCAAAGTAGTGGCTGAGCAGGGCCTTGAGCCTGGTGCTGCGGTCATCGTCCGGCTTCTCCAAGCATGGCCCGCAGCTGGGGAAGGCTACGCTGGGGTGGGATGAGCTCGTCAGAGCCAGCCCCTGGGGTGGGGGTGGGGGAACCACGCTCTGCCCACCCACCCCTGCACCTGTGAAAGGCCTGGAACATAAGGCGCAGGCAGGCCAGGGCCTCCCGCTCTCTGGCCTGCACTCGGTCATGAAGGAAGCCACAGATCTGGTCCTTTTCCTGGGCGGTCAGGTCTCCAGGGCTGTGCAGGTAGAAGGCCAGCTCGCTGAACTCCACCAGCACCCCTGTGCCCCGAGGCACACCTGCCAAAGAGCGTGTCAGATGGGCAGGTGGGCAGGCAGGTGGCAGGCAGGGCCAAGGGTGGGGGCGCACCTTTCCTGGGCTCCGGGTCCCACTGCAGTTGGTGGAGGGCCTTCCGCACGGGGGCCAGCTCCCAGCCCATGGAGTCCACCAGCTCGACCACGTCAAACTCCACAGTGCTGCTTCCCCCACCTGTGTTCCCAGGCAGCTGCTGGGCCAAGCACGCAGCCAAGGGGACACACCTATGCCAGGGGGAGGTGTGAGTGATTGGTAGCCCTAGTCCTCTGTCCCTGTCACCGTTCTGGGATAGGACGTGTGTTCACCTGCTGGCCAGGGCCTGGAGCTGGGTGGGGCCCCCAGGGTATCGCACGCAGCAGCGAGTGTAGGTGGGTGCCAGCAGCTCCAGCCAGTGCTGTGGGTGCAGCTCCAAGTAGCACAGAAGAGTCTCAATGACTGGGGGAAGAGTGGGGCTCAGGGCACATGGGGCTGTGAGGTGCCCCCCAACCCCTGCCCCGGTTCCTCACCCTCCTCAGGCATGTCCAGAGCCTGCACTGTCGGCTGCACTGGGAGTGCCCGCTTGTGGCCCGGGCACCGGGCTGTTGGCTCATGGCTGGGTTGCTTGGAGGAGCACCCCTCCTGTCTCTCGCCTCCCTCCTGCTCAGACCGCCGCTGGGCACAGGTGCAGGGCGGGAACGCACGCTGCACCAGCTTCTTCACAGCAAGGAAGTCAATGGCGTTGGCATGCACGTGTCTGCGCAGCTCCCGAAGGTCCTCGCCCTGCAGCAGGACGGCTGTGAGCGTGTGGCCGTGGCACTGGGGGGTGGGAGGGAGTTCGAGCTGGTGGGCACCAACCTGGGGCTGCAGGAAGAGGTGGCAGTGTGCGGGCTGCCCATCACGCCCAGCCCGGCCCACGGCCTGAATGTAGCTCTCAAAACTCGGGGGCAGCCCCAGGTGCAGCACAGCCCGCACATCTGGCCGGTCCAATCCCATCCCAAAGGCCACTGTGGCCACGACCACCCGCAACCGGCCCTCCATGAAGGCCCGCTGCACCCGCCGCCGCTCCCGGCTGCACATGCCAGCATGGTAGGCTTCAGCCACAGCCTCCGGGGCCTGGCCTGCAGGAAAGACACAGATGGTTGGTGGGCTGTCTGCATGGGAAAGTCTGTGGGGCACAGCCCTGCCCAGCCTCACCTCCAGGCCCGGGAGCCCTAGCCTCGGGCAAACAGGTGCGCAGCAGAGCGGCGACACGCTCAGTGTCCTCACGCCTGTTGCAGTAGACGATGACGGAGTCCAGGGTGCGGAAGCGGTCCCCCCGTAGCAGTGTCACCAGAGCCTGGCGAGGGACAGTGGTCAGCGTGGACAGTCGGGAAACAAAGCCTCTACCGGGTGTGTGCATACCTACCTGGTCTGGGTCCCTGTCCATGGACACAGAAAGGTGCAGGTTGGCAGGGATGGTGACCGGTCCCCTGAGGACACCCTCCTTGGCTATGCCCAGGTGCTCGGCCACGTCGAGAGTGGTGCTGCGTGTGGCCGTGGCTGTGAGACCCAGGAAGCAGCGCACGCCCAGGCTTTCCCGCAGCACCTGTGCAGAGCGGGGCAGTAAGGACGCCCACTCCCCCCCGACCTACTCACCCGTATTCAGGACAAGGCTCACCTTGCAGACACGTAGATAGCAGGGTCTGAAGTTGTGGGACCACTGAGAGAGGCAGTGGGCTTCGTCAATACAGACAAAGGCCACTGGGGGCAGCTGAGTGAGGCAGGCAGGGCTCCCGGTCCCAGCTCCAACCAATGCCTCGGGTGACAGCATCAGCACGTGTACCTGGCCTGCCCGAGCCTGTGAACAGCAAGGTCAGGACCACTGCCCGGGGCCCTGCCTGTCGCCCCCAAGGGTCTTGCTCTGGGAGGCCCCTCACCCTCTGCAGGGCGGAGTCTCGCTGCTTCCTCGTCATGCCCGAGTGTACACAAGCCGCCTTCAGGCCTTGGGGCAGGCCGGACACCTGCAGACACAGGAGCCAGTCTGTTGGAGGCCATCCAGCCCGGCCTCCCCCAAATGCCTCTCCCAGTCGCTCAGCTCGATAGTGACTGCTGCATCCACCCCACGTCTTATGAGGAGAAAACACCCAGACTCTGGAACTAAGAGTTCGGGGCTGCCGCTGGGCCTGGGCTCAGGCTCTGGGAACAGACAGGCCTCATTGAGGATGTCTCCTTTTAGGGGAGGTTCTGGCCAGCCATGTCTCTGCTGCCCTCAGGCCACTTCCAGGCTGAGGGCTTGGACAGAGCTGGTGGGCCGAGAACTGTCGGGACCCCCACAGCTCCAGGACGCCGGTGGGTAAGAAGCAGCAGCTCAAAGGGACAGCAAAGCCTGGGTGCCGGTGCGTGCCTTCCACCCACACCTGAGGGTCCTGTGTGTCCTTGGCTGCTGTGCTGCTGGGCCTGTGCACACACCTGGTCGTCCATGAGGGACAGGAGAGGAGAGATGACCAGCGTGAGACAGGGGCTTCGCTGGGCGTAGAGCAGCGCAGGGAGTTGGTAGCACAGGGACTTGCCAGCACCGGTGGGCAGCACCAGCAGTGTGGACATGCCTGGACGGGAGCCAGGTCAGCAGTGAGGCTCTGCAGCCTGGCCTCAGCCCCGCCTCCCTCCCCTGGCAGCCATGCTCACCAGACAGGATTCGCATGACTGCGTGCTCCTGCCCAGGGCGGAAGGCTCGGTGCCCCAGCTGCTCCAGGGCCTGCAACACCTCAACTGGCGTCGCTGTGTACACAGATGTTGGGTCAGCATGGCCAAGTCGCCCCCACCTTTCGGTAAAGGTCCTAGGCTGGTAGGCATCTGCTCACCTGCCACCTGCCCCAAGGGACCCGGCAGGTAGAGTGGCGGCACAGCTGGGGATGGGCAGGGTCCCCCAGGCACAGGTGCCTCCATGGGCACTAGCAACTCAGACCCAGCAGGATCTGTATCTTCCTCACCTGTGGGGGGTGGACAGGAGAGGGTGTTATGGGAGCTCTAGGCTGGTCTGGTGTCATTCTAGCAAGAAGGCGGCTTCCACTCACCACGGAGCTGGCCGCAGGCAGTGTGTGTCCTCTGGGCTACTGCCTCTAACGTGGGCAGCATCTGCATGTCATCTTCCTCTTCGCCACCCTCCTTCTTGGGGACCCGGGTAGGTTTTGGGCCTGGGGTACGGAGTTAGGAGGGCTTTTTGCTTCAGTCAGACCCCAAAGAGCACAACACCCTCTCCAAGCAGTGTTGGCCCAACACACCAGCACAGAAGCCTCACCTGGTCTGGGGCACTGGGATGCCCAGTGGCCGAGCTGCCCACACCGGAAGCAAGAATCCTTGACTGGGGCGTTGGACTGACCACCCCCCAAATGTTCCGCCTTCTTCTTCCATTTCTGCTTCCATGCCTGGGGTGGGGCACAAAGGAAGGTCACAGGGCGAGAGGCAGGAGGGGTGAGGGGAGTGCCTGCCACAACCTCACCTGCTTTCGGAGGAGTCTGCCACGCAGGGCTGGGCCCCAAACATAGCGTTTCTGCTTCAGGTTGAGCCGAACGTAATTACCCCTGTCCCGGGCAGCTGGCCTAGAAGGGACATACAGGTGTGCCTTGCCCATAGCATCCCCACCTTGGCCCAACTCAAGGGGACCCTGCTGGGAGGCTGAATTGCATTACCTGGGGGCTGAGGGGCCGGTGAGGAGCTGCGCCTGAGTGGGCTCCCCTGGACAGTCTTCTGCGTGCAGTACAGCCCTAGCTCCCTCTGGTGGGGAGCCTTCTTGGCTGCTGTGCTGACGGGCCTGTGCAGCAGCGGTCCCCTTTAACTCCCCACTCTTTCTCCGCTTCTTGCCTTGACTGCCGCCCAGTAGGGGGTTCCCTGCACTGACCCCAGGTACCTTCATAGCTGGAGCCTCTGAGCCCAGAAAAGGTGCCTCAGGGCCTGTGCTGGGGCCAGGATCAGAGGGAACACCTGAAGTCAGGGGCGGTGGCTCCCCTGTACCCGGGACAGGCTGGCAGGCCTCAGAAGTCCCCAGAAAACCTTCGGTCTCGTGACACCTCTGTAGCCAGCCAGGATCGAGGGAGCCCAGCCGCAGGCTCAGGGACTCCTGCAGCTGCTGGAGCCGGCCTGGCCTTAGCTGGGGCCTGGGGAGCTGGGGCAGCACCTCACTGACTTCTTCAGGAGACGCGGGGGAAGCCCCTGCAGCTGGCAGCCCTGGGGAAGGCACCGTGGGTGGGGGTCTTTGCGGAGGCCGGGGTATTCGGCGCAGGGCTGGCCCAGCCTGGAAAGAGGAGGACAGACAAGCAAGCAGGAGTTCAGGCCCTGGGCGGCCAAAGATCCTGCAACCTGCAGAGTCCCCGCCTAACCCCTCAGTGTGGCCGGGATGGAAAGGAAGCTGAGAGAAGAAACTGACTGTGACCTCCTTTCAGAAGCCGAGGCCTGGTTAGTGCGGGAGGCGTGTGTGCGCGCTGGTGGGAGCAGGGGCACCTGTGGGGGGTGGGGGGGTGTCTGCTGGTCCTGCCCCTGGGCCGAGGGTAGTTCTGGACCCCGGGTGGACGTCTCCGTGGCTCTTGTCCTCACCTGCAGAGCGTCCTTCAGGTTCGCCTTGAGCCGCTTCCCATAGTCCGGCACAGACCCGCGAGGGCTCGGCCCGGCAGCAGCGGGGAGACTCTGGGTGACAGCCCGATTCAGGTGGGACCCCCAGCAGCTGGGCTCGGGCACCTGCAGAGGAGGCAGTGGGGTCGGCAAGGCTGGTGTAGGGGACAGAGGTGTCTCCTGCCCCTCGCCCCAGTCCCTCCGAGACCGGGAGGGAGCCGGGCCCTCCACCCCTTCCCCCAAATTCTGTGCCCCACGGAGCTCCCGCCACACAGAAAGCTACGCCGGGAGGCTAGGGTACGGGGCCCGGGTACCTCCTCGGCCGCCTCCGGGGGCGCCTGCACCGGGCCGCGGGGTCCAGCGCTGCTGGCCGGAAGCAGGGTCTCCTTCAGGGCGCGGTACTCCCGGTAGAGCGCTGGGGGCGGGCCAGGGGTTAGGGGTCAGGGCTCGGCGGTGCCCGCTCGGCTCCCTCACCCCTCGTGCCCCCACCCGGTGGCCCCGCCGCCCGGCGCTCACCGCGGGTCTCCTCGGGAGCCGCTTCCACGTCCTCCTGTGAAGGGAGCGCGTCAGCCGGGGCCGCCCCAGCAGCCTCCCGCCCCCGGGCAGCCCGTACCTGCACCGGCCGCCGCCCGCGCTGCCGCCGGAACGCGCGCTCCCACGCCTGCAGGAGCGCCCGCACCTCCCGCAGTCGCTCCATGGCGAGCCGGCCCCGCGCGCGGCCTCCGCTCGGCGCCCCGCGATTCTCCCGCCGCGAGGACGCCGCCGGCCGGCAGCCAATGGGGACTCGGCGCGGTCGGGGGCGGGGCGTCGGAGCCAACGCAAGCTGGGGCAGCCAATCCCCGGGGTCCTGGAGCGGCGGCCAATGGGGGAAGACGACGTCATCGCGGCGCGCGGCGCGGGGCGGGGCGGGGCGGTGCTGACGGCGGCGGAGGCTGCTGCGGGGCCGGTGAGTGCGCGCCGCCTGCAGGGACTGAGCGGGGCCGTGCACTCCCGGCCCTGCCAGGCCGCAGGACGCGGGCGGTGGGGCTGTGGGCGGGAGAGGACGCGGGTCCCCACCGGGCTGCACGGCTCGGGCCCTGGGGCGACGCGCCGGGAGGAGGAGGGGTCGGGGCGAGCGCCTCCCCGAGGCCAGGAGGCGGGGCGGGGCGCCTTCGGGAAACGCCGGGCACGACGGGCCGGCGGAGGGGCGGCAGCCGCCGCACGGAGGCTCCTCCCCCGGCGACCACACGGGCTGCTTGCGTTTCCTCTCGTGACAGGTGCTCGGTGGGTCTGTCCTTTCTCGGCGAGGGATGCATCGTCCTCGCGAGATTCGTCCACGGGCAGAGCGCGGCCGAGGCTGGCGTCAGGGCTTCTCGGGAGCCGCTGTGCTCAGGGCTTAGGCTCTGTGTGAGGTCTGCGGCCAGACGCCCTTCCCCGCCCAGGCTTCCATCACCCAGGCTGCGGCCCTGGCCGGGGAGGCCTCGTCCCTCGTCATCTGTTCTGCTTCCTGGGCCGGGCGGCAGTTCGGGGATGAGGTGCCCTGATTCAGCCGCAGCGCTGACACAGGTTCCTGCGGCCGGAGGCATCTTTTTGTGCCTCCCGTTAGCTTGAATGCCCCTTTGCAGTGGCCTCTAACTGTTTGAGCAGTTTTCTGGCCTGGGGCCTCCTGCATCTATGGATTTGAAACTTGGTTTCTTGACTTGGTTCTTCAGGGAGGAGGGGGATGTTTAGACAGCTGCCAAGGCCCTCAGTCGGTGAGGGTTGCTTTCCAGGGGTGTCCATGCCTAGCAACACGTCTGGATATAGAAGTTAGGACGAAGGGTCATGTTGAGGGCTTGGGTTACTCAGGCCATCTGGACTCTGTTTCCTGGGCCCGGTCCTTTACACTTGCCCTGGTGTTTATTGAGGAGCATCTGTGCGTCCAGCTCCTCTCTGCTGCTGCGCAGGGTCCTGGGACAGCCTGCAGTAGCTTCTGAGGAGGGTACGGGAGTGAACTGTGATGCAGCTTCCAGCCCTCTCCCCGGGATCCCACCCTTCTAGTGCTTGTGGAGGGGGAGGGGCCAGAACCTTATTTTACTTTTGAGGGAGGATCTCTCATAAGCTGCTTTGTAATTTGAGAGGCCTGAAGTAAGGGTGGGGGAGGCCCTGCAGGCAACAGCTGTCAAAGCACACCAGGTGGGCGGGTCCTCTCTGGGGCCATGCTATTCCCCGCTGCTTGATGGCTTTGTTTTCCTAAACAGGCCCCCGTGCTTCTGGAGTGTGGGAACGGGTGTGTGTGTGTGTGTGGCCTTGTACCCCTTTGCACTCTGCCTAGCCCGTTGCCAGGCACCTAGCACTTACTCTTCAGAGCTGTGGTCCCACTGACCACTGACTGGCAGGCACTGGGCTGGGCTTTCCTGCTACTAGTGTGTGGAGGAGTCTGTGGCAGGTGGTAGCCTGGGGTCTGTCCTCCCACTGAAGGTCTCTTCCCTGCAGGTGGCCTCCTGCCCTGCCCGGCGCCATGCACACGCTTGTGTTCTTGAGCACGCGGCAGGTGCTCCAGTGCCAGCCCGCGGCCTGCCAGGCTCTGCCCCTGCTCCCACGCGAGCTCTTCCCCCTGCTGTTCAAGGTGGCCTTCATGGACAAGAAGACTGTTGTGCTACGCGAACTGGTGCACACATGGCCCTTCCCCCTGCTCAGCTTCCAGCAGCTGCTGCAGGAGTGTGCCCATTGCAGCCGGGCCCTGCTGCAGGAGCGGCCCAGCACAGAGAGCATGCAGGCTGTGATCCTGGGGCTCACAGCCCGGCTCCACACCCCAGAGGCTGAGGCTGGCACACGGTCTTTCTGCAGGTATGGGCTCACCTGAGGGGCCCTCAGGCTTGGGATGTGCAGAAAGGGTCCCCAGAGAGGTTTCAGGCTGGTGTTAAGAGCTCAGTGCAGGAACAGGCATGTTGCTTCTGTCCCAAGGTGGCTGGGGTTGGGTGTGGGCTCTCCCTCTTATCACCTTTCTCAGCCCACCTGTGCTCCCAGGAAGCATGCACTGCGGGTGCTGGACATGACGGGCCTCCTGGACGACGGTGTGGAGCAGGACCCCGGCACCATGAGCATGTGGGACTGCACAGCAGCCGTGGCCCGCACATGCATCGCGCAGCAGCAAGGCGGGACTGTGGAGCCTGGGCCGAGCCCCGCTCCCGTGGAGGTGCGTGTGGACCTTCGGGTGAACCGGGCCTCTTATGCGTTCCTGCGGGAGGCCCTCCGTAGCAGCGCAGGCAGCCCGCTGCGGCTCTGCTGCCGGGACCTGCGGGCTGAGGACCTGCCCATGCGAAACACTGTGGCCCTGCTGCAGCTTCTGGATGCAGGCTGCCTGCGCCGTGTGGACCTGCGCTTCAACAACTTGGGGCCTGCGGTGGGCCTGTCCTGTCATCATCCCACACGTGGCCCGTTTTCAAGCACTTTGGCCAGCCTTCGGCTTGCACTAATGTACACGGGGAACTCACGGCAGCCCTCCGTGGATGGCGAGGACAACTTCCGATACTTCCTGGCCCAGATGGGCCGCTTCACTTGTCTGCGGGAGCTCAGCATGGGCTCCTCTCTCCTCTCAGGGCGGCTGGACCAGCTGCTCAGGTGAGTGGGCCCTACTACTGTCTGCCTCTCCCCTCCCCACGACTGTCCCCTGCCTGCCTGTTCATGACCCCTTGCTTCGCCTGCAGCACTCTGCAGAGCCCCCTGGAGAGCCTGGAGCTGGCCTTCTGTGCTCTGCTGCCGGAGGACCTGCGCTTCCTGGCACGCAGCCCCCATGCCGTCCACCTCAAGAAGTTGGACCTGAGTGGCAATGACCTGTCGGGCAGCCAGCTGGAGCCGTTCCAGGGCCTGCTGCAGACGGCGGCGGCCACACTGCTGCACCTCGAGCTGACTGAGTGCCAGCTTGCTGATACCCAGCTGCTGGCCATGCTCCCTGTGCTGACCCGCTGCGCCAGCCTCCGCTACCTCGGCCTCTATGGCAACCCACTGTCCATGGCAGGTCTTAAGGAGCTCCTGCGGGACTCGGTGGCACAGGCCGAGCTGCGCACAGTGGTGCACCCCTTCCCTGTGGACTGCTATGAGGGCCTGCCCTGGCCGCCACCTGCCTCTGTTCTGCTGGAGGCCTCCATCAATGAGGAGAAATTTGCCCGTGTGGAGGCTGAGTTGCACCAGCTGCTGCTAGCCTCAGGCCGTGCCCACGTGGTCTGGACCACGGACATCTATGGTCGCCTGGCTGCAGACTACTTCAGTTTGTGATCTCTGGGCTTCTGGGTGAGAAACAGGCTGTCCCAGAGTCCAGGGCTGCTGGAGGCCCCTCCCCCTCCTGGGTAGGCACAGCCTTGGCTGGGACCCTGTTAGAGGCCTGACGCAGAGGCACTGGTGTCTGGGTTTGTGCCCCTCGGGTGCACCTTGACCCTCCCGGCGCAGTTTGCCCTGCACTTGCTCCCCTGACTGTTCACCCGTCTGTGGGCCTGAGGTCTGAATTCCAGCCCTGCCCAGCCCTGCTTGCTTAGTCTGCACTTGGCTACCCTCTGGTGTCCTCGTCCTCTTCAGAATGCTCCTGGGGTCCCATCTCTGAGCTGAGAGGGTGTTCCCTCTGGGCCCTTTTCCAGAGCAGACTGCCCCTGTTGCAGTTGGGACTGGCCTGCTTCAAGGAGGTTGGCCCTCTGCGCTGGGGCCTGTCATGATTTCCCTGCCCTGGCACTCAGGAGACTGTTGGCTGGGCTTTGGGGCCAGACCTGTTATTACGGTACAAATGCGCAGTGTGTTTGGAACTTAAATTTGTGGCTGTTTTTCTGTCCTCATTGGTCAGCGAGTTGTCCCTGGCTCTGCTGCCACACCCAGTATGGCCCCCGGTAACAACTGTCTTCCAGGCTGCTCTCCCTCCCCTGGTCCCTCCCAGCAGGTCTGTGCATCTTCACAGCACGAGAGGAGAACCTCAGTGCGGGTGTTAGGAGCCTCCCTGGCCATCCAACGTTTGCACCCCAAAACTTGTGTCTGCAAAGCTACGGCGCTCCGGGTGCCTGCACCCCCCTCGCCCTCGGTGCCCCCAGACCTCACACACAGCTCGGTTCACACCGCGCAGCTTCCACCCTTTACTGATCACGCCGGAGCATGCGCGAACGGAGTCCGCCGACTGGCCAATCCGCCGGGCCTGCGTCATCAGCGCGCGTCGCCCGCCCCGCCCTCAGCAGTGGATCTCATAGGCGGAGGGAGGCTGCAGCGGGAACCCCTGCGCCGGCCCGGGCGCCGCGCCCTGTGCTGGGGCCTCGGCGAAGAGCGGCTTGGAGCGGTCGATGACGAACATCTCGTGGCCCCGCTCGCCGCGGAGCTCCTCCAGCTGCGCGGAGGTGCAGGGCCCGTCCGAGTAGTCGTTGACGAACAGCGCGCCCTCCCCCGGCGGCCCGGGCGCCTTTTTCCGCCGCCGGCGCCGGCGACAGATGAGGGTCGCCAGCAGCATCGCCGTCAGCGCCAGCAGCGCGATGGCCGCCGCGATCACCGTCTGCGTGGCCAGCCCCAGGGCGCGGAAGGCCATGCTGCTCGCCTCGGGCAGGGGCGCGGGGCCCACGGCCACCGGTGGGGGCGCCCCCTGCAGCTGCTGCTGGGACACGTTGACCAGGAGCTGAAAGGGCACCCGAGCGGCGCCGCCGGCGTTAGAGGCCTCGCACTCGTACTTGCCAGCGTGGGCCAGGGTGATGTTGGTGAGAAAGAGCATGCCGCTGCCCGTGTCGGAGGCTCCGTGCCCGCCTGGGCCTGGCACCCCGCCTTCGGGCGGGGCCTGGGCCCGTGGTTGTCCCTCGCGAGGCTGGGCCACCTTTCTCCAGGTTACCAGGGGCTGCGGGTAGCCGGAAGCCTGGCAGGCCACCCGCAGGTTCTCACCCAGGTTGGCTGTCACCTCCAGCGGCTCAACGTGCACAGAAGGTGGGATGCAGATGAGGCTGCTGCCAGAGACGTCCAGGAGACTCTGGAGGGCCAGGCGTGGAGGCTCTGCGCACACGATCTTCCTGTCCCTGGAGCTGAGCAACCTCTGCCCCGCCTCCTTGAGCCAGTCTCCCAGCCAGTGCAGCGCGCAGTCACAGCGCCATGGGTTCTCTGTGGACAGAGCAGCGGTGAGCAGGTAGCCCAGGGGCAGCTGCGACCACAGCCTGTGCAATTGGGGTTCCACTGGCCAGAGCAGGAGCCCCTTCACTACCCCCCCCCCCCGCCCCGAGTCAGGGACCCCTGCCACCCCTGCACAAGCTCCTTGGAGTGTGGGCCGAGTCTTCCCTGGCCCCTTCAGTTCACGATATCTAGGCAGTCTCTTGTCCCTCCCAGTCCTACTATTTGGGGGGAACCCTGGTGTCCACATAGACATCTCACCACCACTAAAACCTTGCAAATACTGTCAGCCTTGTCTCTCAGGTGTTGTCTCCTAGAAATGCCCTCATCTTTCTAGTTTCTACCTCCCTGCCCTCTGATGGCCCCAGAGTGTGCAAGTCCCTCAACTGTGTCTCCTGTTTAGAGACTTGTACCTTTTCTGTCTTCCTTACAAAAGTTCTCTGAGCTGTGCCCCTACCAACTCCCCCATTCCTGGCAGCATTCTGCTGTGGTTGCTGGTAGTGGTGTGGCCCTTCAGAGCTGCCCTGGGGGGGGGTGCAGCTCTTGAGCCACTGCCATTGGGTTGCCCTACATAACGGCCTCCTCCCTAATGCCAGCACTGTGGCTTGATATCTTTGCTTGAGACCCCTTGCTCCAGAAGAGGTACCTGTGAGGCGTAGGACCTGCAGACTGGCCAGGGGCTGCAGGGTCTCATGGCTGATGGTGCCCAGCTGGTTCCTGCTGAGGTCCAGCAGTGCCAGTGAGGAGAGCCCGGCCAGGGCCTGGTCCTCCAGCAGCTTAATGCTGTTTTCCTGCAGGTGCAGCTCCTGCAGTCGCTGAAGCAGGGACAGCAGATCATCAGGGAAAGGGGCCCTAGGAGATATGTTCCTTACCAGGCTAGGCTGGTTGACTTTTGTCCCCTTCACAACTCCAGCCCCTCCGAGCAGCTGACAGTACAGGAGGATCCCTGCCCTTTTCCCCGCACCCCTCACCGGCAGATGCAGGAAGGTGAAGTCCAGCAGCTGCATCAGCTGGTTACCAGCCAGGTAGAGTATGCGCAGCTGAGCCAGGCCTGCAAAAGCCCCCAGGCGCAGGCCTCGCAACTGGTTGCCTGTGAGTGCGAGCTCCAGCAGGCGCGACTGTGCGTGAAAGGTGCCTGGCTCCAGGGTGCGAAGGCTGTTGTTGTGCAGGTAGAGGCTGTGAAGGGCGGCAAGGGGCGCCAGGATGCCCAGCTCCAGGCATGAGATGCTGTTATCCTGCAGGAACAGCGTCTGCAGGCCAGAGGGAGGGAGGGCAGGCAGTGTTTACCCCACTGAGGGAGTGTTCCTCCAACTAAGGTTCCCATCTACCCACCGGGAGGCTCACACACCCTTCCCTCCTCACCCGCAGCCCCACACAGTTCCCACCTGTGTCCCAGGCGGGATTCCTGGCGGGACAACGTGCAGCCCCAGGGCCCCACACTCCACCGTGGTGCTGTAGCAGCGGCAGGCAGCCGGGCAGCTGGTGGATCCGGGCGGGAGACTGGGCAGGCAGAGCAGCGACAGCAGCAGCAGAGCCGGGGCTCCGGAGGCCATCTCCCGAGGCCAACCTCCTCACCAGCTTTGCTACAACGGGGCCCGGGATGGGAAGCACTTCCTGAAACAGTTTGGCAAGGCCTTGCCCTAACACTTGAGAGTCAGCGAAGAGCATGGATGGAAGCTCACACCGTGTCTACTGTTTGAAAAGTTATAAATCAATTTAAGAAACTGATAAAACGTTTTCTTAACGAAAACAGTCAAGGATTTGGGACATGAGGTTCCAGTTTTGAATTTCTGATGTCCTCTGTCTTGCACACAGGCCACATGGGGCATGTCTGTCTAGGTAGCACCGCCCTCTACACCCTCCCAACTAGCCACTCTGGACCTACATTGCAAGAGGCTGGTGTAAGATATGGTGATACAGGCTTGGGAGCATTTGGGTGGTGAAGTCCAGAGCTGTTCCCAAGCCTGGGCCAGAGGGGGAGGCAAATAGCACCCCTTGTACATTGGACTCTGCTCTCTGGGGACTGGCATGAGATCTTGTGAGGCCCAGAGCAGAGGTCCCTTTTGTACCCCCTGGATAAGGTCCTTGATGGGAGGCAGGGCAGAACTAGTCTTAGAGGAGTCAAGAGCCACAGAAAAATCCAGGCCCTGCTTTGTCCTGCCCTGGGAGTGGGGTGGGTGGAACAGCTTACTGAATGAGGGTTTGTTCTCTGGGAACTTGTGAGAGTAGGATGATGAAGCAAATGATAGGGAAGAACATTTCCCAAGCTATGGACCTGTGTTCTCCATGCTGGCTCCCCAAAAGGTGCCTCTTTTGGGGGACAGTGGGGCCCTGGAACGGTTGGGCCACCAACTGGGTTTCTAGTATAGTTCCAACAGTGACTTTCTGGACTGAAGGAATGTAGTGTGTTTATGCACATGCAGCTGTGATCCTAGAGAGACGGGAAGGTCTGGATCTAGTTCCGGGCACAAGGAGTCCAATTTTAAAGGTGGGGACTTGGGCTGAGAAACCAACCAGGGTGGCAGGGCAGAGGGTTGGCTGTTACCCAGCCTCAAGCTCCACCTCAAGTGGTACCTGCTCTGAGCACCCCCCTGTTCACCAGGTTTTCCACTATCAAGAGTGAGTCTTGTAGAAAGGAACTAGGTGGCCTTAATGATTGTTTAAATCTTGACTTAAAGTGATTATTTAAAGTCACTAGAGATGAAGTAGGCACAGCAAAAGTTTTAATGGAGTAGCTTTGGCCCAGGCAGAGGCAGCTCCTTGGTGTCTCAGGATGTTTGCGAGCCCCAAGAAGCCAGGGGATTTCTCTTGGCCCCTGGCACTCATCTCCTCGAGCAAAAGGGCTTGCCCACACCCATCTTCCAGGAGCAAGGCCTCTCCAGTAGAGAAGGTTCTTAGCTTCCTCCTCGGGATTCAGGGCGCTGCTGCTCATACGGGCACCCCTAGATGCGGATCCATGTCACAGGGCCAGCTGGGCAAGGATGAGGGCCCCGGCGGGAAGAGCCTGGGAGGCCCGCACACAAATCCTTTTACTCGGCGGACAAACCCTAATCCGGCTGGGTAGGGCCCGGGCGTCACGCATAGGCTTGGAGATGGCTGACACTGCCTCCAGGGCGCCCATCTGCGCGGGGTGGGGGGTGGGGGGTGGGGTGAAGCCCTGCGACTCCATCGGGCGCAGAATGAAAACCGAGCCAGGCACCTAGGTACCCCAAGGCTTCGCCTGCATCCCCAGAGCACGGGTCTGTTCTGGGCGATTCAGGGCAAGGCGTGGTCCCGCCAGGTCGCACGTCCTCAGTGCGTGTAGTGGACGGCCCCAATCCCGCCCCATGCCCGCTGACCTTGGTTCGGGCGCCCTCTCACCTGACGCTCCTGCGGCGCGGCTCCCCCGCCGAGCCCACGGCGCCCCGGCCCACGGAGCAGCCCGGGCGGGGGAGGGGCGGGCGCCGGTCGCGCAAGCGCACTGGAGCCCCTGTGCCTCTCGCCCGGTCGCCCGGGCCTGCCGTCGCGAGCGGAAGCAGAGAATGCCCCAGATCGGGAGAGAGCAGAAAGGCCCGGGCCGCTTCCCGAATTCGGTCGGGGACCGGCCTCGGCAGCACCTCGGACAGCGCCGGGCGGGGCGGGGCCTAGATGCTCCCGGACGCGCACGCGCACGCGGCCTGCGCGCTCTCCGGGTGGCGCGTGCGCAGCGACGCGGGCGAGAGGGGCGCTCAGGGCCCGCGGCCTCCCGCCTGACGCTCAGAGCTGGGGGGCGGCGAGCAGCAGCGGGGCCAGATCCATGGTGAGGGGGAGGCGTTGGCCCTGCCAGTGCACGTGGGAGGGCACCGCGGACGCACCGGGCGGGTACTCGAAGCAGGCGCTGAGCTCGAAGGCCAGGGCCGAGCGCACCAGACCTACGCCCCCTGCGCGTTCCGGCGCGGGGTGGTACAGGCGCCCGTTGGTGGCCAGGGGCAGCAGGCGCTCGGGCTCGAAGGGCACAGCCAGCGCCTCGCCGCCGCCGCAGTAGGAGAGGCGCGGGGACCCGGAGCCTGCAGCCAGCAGATGCGTAAAGACCACGGGCCGGTCCTCGCAGCGCAGGAAGTTGCGCTCCCTGCCGCAGGGAGAGAGGAAGGGGAAGGAGGCCTCGTAGCGCCCGCTGCGGTTGGGTCTCAGACGGGAGAAGAAGGTGACCAGGAACTGCAGGTCTGGGGAGGCGAAGGACACGGGCTGCTCACCACGCCAGGCCCGTTACCCCAGGGCCAAGCCAGGGGCCGGCGCCGGCAGGGAGGGCCGCCCTGGCCTCACTCGATAGCGGGGCTCGGGAGCTCAGGATGCCCAGCCCCTGCCGCGGGCGGGGTTGGGAAGCGGACCCTCCGAAGCCTTCCCCGAAGGGAGAAGGAAGGTGGAGAGGGCACAGCAGTACCTTTGAAACAGGTGATGAAGTTCTTCATTTTGGAGTCATCCAGGAAAAGCTGCAGACAGAGGGACAGGCGGTGCCCATGAGCCCGGCCGGACGCCTGCCCGAGGCGGGAGGGTCCCTGTGGCCGGGCCGGACCTGTGTCCGCTTCCTGTGCTCGCCTGTGCACACCGTGTACAGAGGAGCGCTAGAGGGAACCCGGGCCCTTCCCATTCCCCGGATCGGCCGCACCCGGCCCGGCTTCCTGGCACACAGGTTCATTAAAGCGGCCTTTTCCGCGTCTTGAACCTCGTTTCTAATCAGGTGCCAC